CACTTTTGTTGAGCTTCATTTTTCTCACACGTGTAAAATAGGGCAACAGCGTAAGAGAACGTGTGGTCTAGGGCAGTAGCTGGTCCACAGATGTACATTAGTGTTTGAGGAATGAATGAGGTCAGTGTTCTGCATCCAGGACTAGACAATCCACCCCAAATTTTCAACTCTTTCCTTGAATCACAACACACATTTTGTTACCTATAGCTCTCCCAAATGTCAGCAACAACTGCCTCGGTGTGTGATGTTTAGGAAGAGGGACATTTGATTATCCTGGCAAAAGACACTTAGTTTCGCAATCCAGAGGCTTAATGTGAAAGAAAATTGGCCAGTTATTATGGGCGATGCACAACTATTTCTGTTCCAGGACTAAATATGTTTGCTGTTCAGTCTAGAGCCGAACCTATGTGAGCTCCTCCCCCCCACTCTACCCTAACCCCTAACCCCTACCCTAACCTGTACTCTAACCTGTGCCCTGCTCCTTACCCTAGTCCCTAACCCCCGTCCCCAAAGCCACATCCTTTTCCAGATCCTTAGTCACCAGGAACACAGGCTGTGTGAAGCTGGCCTTTACCCAGGGATACAGAGGCCGGTCTTGCCAACCATCAGCAGAATGGGTCAATCTGTGTGTGAGGTGGGGGCAGAGGGCATAGAGAATGGAAGCTAACTGGGCATCCTACAGATCCTGGGGCTAAACTTGGCATCCCAAAGGCTCTGGGTCTAGCAGCCCTTAGCATGGTACCATACAAGGCCTAGGGGACAACACCCATCTGCATGCAGAATTGCCCTCTCTTGTCCCCACAACACCTGGCGAACCCCCATCCTCCACTCAGGAAGCAAAGGCTTCTGCAGATGGCAGGAGGTTCTGCTTATGCATCCTTCCCCTCCTCCCAGTCACACTCTCTCCTAACTCCTCTTAGCAATCAGCATACACAGCGAAGGGGTGCACCCCAGCATCACCCCCGGCATTCCCACTGGAGACACAGCCTCATGACCTCCCAGCGACCAGCATTCTCAAGCCTCTGGATATACCATGTAAGCACTGCTGGCCTTCCGACCCCTAGAAATCCTATTCCTCCCGCTAAGGAAAAGTTTGCAATGAATTAATTTGTCCACTTCTCAACCAGCTGTGTAGGAATCACATACACAGGACTCTGAGGCTTGGTTCCAGATGCAAGCTCGAATTCTGAACCCTTAATTGTTTAGAACCAGGTTTTTTCTCCCACAAGACTGTCAGCCCTGAAGATTCTAAGATTCTTTTCTCACTTCCCTTGGGACTTATTTAAACAGAAGAAACATTGAAAAATGGAGCAACTTTTATGTATAGTCTATATTTACAGACTAACACATTTTAAGGAATTCACTGGGAAAAAAAAGGAAACAACTCTAAAGCTGGAGGTAATTTTTCTATTTACTTTTCTTTTTGAATGACAACCCTTTTTGGTGAGGCCTCAAATAGATGACAGTATTTCTGACTTGAAGGCAGCTATCTGGACCCTGCAAACAGTTGGAACAAAAACACGGGAATTCTTGGTGTCACGGCACCTAAAGAAACGACAGGGGCCTCACTCAAGGCAGGAGCCAAAATATGTTTAATCATGCTGGAGAAAGGCCGGGCGGGAGGCCCGAAAATCACACCTCTCACCTCAGCCCCATGGTCAAAGTAGATGTTATTTTAATCAAATCCATTTAAATCATGATTTGAATTACTAAATTGGATGACTCAATTTAATCAGTTCTATTTTTAAGAAGTATACTTTTGTTCTTCTAATACCTGATCACAAATTCTTTAAGATTCAGCTGAGTATGGGTTTCAGTTTTAGAAGATACTTACATATTTAAATCAGTGACTTATGGAAACCATACTTGGAAGCATACCCCTCGATAATTCTAGAAGATTCTGTGCGAAGTTTCAATGTTTCCCTTGTGCACTTACAGCTCTCCCCCTCTTTTGTCTTCAGACTCCTTGCTTTTCCAGATCACTTCATTCTTAAGAATTATCTATTCATTTGCTTGAAACTGCACTTTCAGAGAGAAAGGAATGACTGCCTTGTATCTATACAATGCATGGATTCCACAGATAAAACCAGTGGAGGGAGAAGAGAAACAGCATTTCTGGAGTACACAGTAAGGCCACCTACCAAAGTATCATTCACTGGCTCTCATCATCCCTTAATTTGGCCATATGCCATTCATTCATGCCTGTAGTCAGCATGATAAGAGGGCATACTCAGAGCCAGGCACTAGGTTTCGCCCATGTAAGGATTCAGACCCAACAAAGCTTACAGTTCAATAACACACACAGGTATTAGACAGTTATTGTACAAATATATATACAACAATGGCAGCTTTGAGGAAGCGCATGGTGGTAGGGCAAAGCACCCAGACTGGGAGGCAGAGTGTGGAGGAAGACCTCTCTGGAAAGTAACGTTTCTTTTTTGTTACTCACAAAACTTTTTAAAAGGAAGTCACACAAATATATTGCTCCAATTTCTATCAGTTCTAAAGAAAAGTGGGGTATGGAAAAGAGAAGGTTCTAGACCTGGACAGATATGATTAGCATCCTTGCTATTACTGTGGTGCCTTAGCAACTCACCAGACTGTTGCAGTGGTCAAGCGTGGCACAGATAAAGCACTCGGTGTGTAGTGGACAGCCAGTAGCTGTAGATAATAATTAATAATTACAGAATTTATGCTGATTCATCTTTGAGCTTTGACATGTCAAGATAAAGCTGGTTTTTCATTCATAATTCTATCTTTACAAAACTGTTCAATTAAAAGAGAAAACTCAAACATCCACTGAAAAATACACTATGATTTCTGTGATTTTTTCTTCACATGGGCTGGCCAGGAGGTGCCACTGACCTTTGCAATGGAGGCTCACCCTCCAACAGATGCTCCTCGGCAGCTCCATGAACACAGGCACAGAGCAATGAATGGCTCTGTCTTACCAGCATCAGAACAAGACAGAATGGGAGCTTTTGAATTAAAGATTTTAAAAGAGTGGCCTCCCCTCTCTCTCAGGTCATTAACCACTCTACTGAGAGGTGCAGGCTAAGCCCCTCAGACGCAGTCAAATTCGTGCAACCCAGGAAGCATTTCCCATCCCACTTTTGGCTCTTATTCTGAATTCTTTCAGAAGTTACAAATACACAACCCACAAGACAGGGTCACACTGTTCCTTCCTCATAGGACTGTTACTGCTGCCAGAGGGCTGTACCTGGAGGCCCAAGAGAAGGCCTGCCTGCCAGAAGCTCCCCGCCCGTGGGGACTTACTGAGCATTCCTCAGGCTGCTAGCCAACAGCCCTTTGTCTTTTTTGGTATAAAGCCCAAGTCAGAACACGAAAAAAAAAAAAAATGTGTCATGTTAAAAAATTAGGAATCTACTGGGTCCTAAAGAAGAGACCATTTTATTGATTAGAAAAATGAGGCTTGGATAGGAGAAAAGATTTGCCTAAGGTTTAGAGCAAGAGAACAGCAGAGCCAAAGCAAAAATTTAATTCATTCCACTCAGGGCTTCCCACCCTATTTATTTAGCCCTCTCATCTGCCTGGCACTGGGTAGTACTAGGAACACTAGCAGACCCTTTTCTTCATCAACTGGACCTCCCCCTCTCATGGTCACAGGATTTATCTTGGCCGGAGCTGCACCAGGCCAGGCGAGCCCTGTAGCCTGTGGCAGCAAGCATTTCCTGGGCTGCCCGGCCAGGGGCTCTGCCTGTGTGGCACCCCACCCCACGGGGCCCCCAGCCCACAGGCTCCAGCCTACCATAAGCCTGACCTGGCCCAGGACGGCATGGTGCTGACACCCTCAGGTAGCGCCACTGCCCATCTATGCCATCCATGGCCAAAACCTAAGCCCATGGAGATTCCAAAACATTCCCCTCTACCTGGTCCTGACTAGAGCCTTTTAAAACTTCCCCAAGTCCCTTGGGTTTAAAGGAGCTGAAAAGGCCTTGCCTGGAAGTGGGGGCAGGGGGACTGCATGGGTCAAAGGTGAGGGGTTGCTCATAACTGGTCTAGTAAGATGTTTCAGACAGCATCCTTCCTCTACTTAACTGTACTGTCTGCACACGCACAGGTTCCAGTTCAGGGAGAGGAATCCCTCTTGCATACAAACTCAAAGTGAGAAATAACCCCAAGTCACTCCCAAATGAAGAGGTGGCAGCCCCTGAGTGGCCAGGGAATTGAGGAATGTGACTGAGAACTGCTGAAAAGTTACACCCAAGGAACTGTGATTGGGCAGCAGACCCTGTGGCAGGAAAGGATGCCCCAGCGGTGGGTAAGACCTGTACGTCCAGCCTTCATGGGAACCCCAGGTGCCTGGGGATCGAGAGGGAAGTACAAGCAGAGAAGACAGCAGACATTTGCAGAAAAAATGACTATTTGGTTCTTCACACATCCCCTTCATCAAGGAGCTTTTCTGGACAGCCCAGTCTCCAGCCAGCATCCCCTCCACACAGCTCCACCACACTGTATAATAATTACCTGAGTACTCATCTGTCACACTTATTTTTGTCCCCACAGAGGCACCCCAAGAAACAAATGAAAGAATGACCTGTTATGCAGTGAATGAAACTCAAAGGTACAACTGGGGCAAAGGTAAGCAGCCACCACCTGAGGGTGGAGAAAAACAAGGAGAGACTGAAGAGACCACCCCCAAACAGTCCGAATATAAGTGCTACCCATCCCTCCCCAGCCCCTGAAGGCTGTCCCATTCAACTTCTGGGGTGGGGAGACATACCGCTAAAAGATATGTTCCTGTAATTATCAAAATTGAGTGTACAACCAAGAGAAGGGGGGAAATAGTGGGTTCACCTAAGTGAGCTAAGACTTCCTGTTTCATATACCAGCTGCATCTTCAACTCAGCCCCTCTCTCAGAAATCTGTGGACTCAAGGTCACAATCCCAAGTTCAAAGTGAACAAAGTCCTGGGTCCCAAAGGGAAACCTTTCTAATTTATAAGGCATATACTCTAGGTGTGGAACTTGTCAACTTACTTTTTCCAGGTCTAGATTGGCATCCTGCTTCTTCAAAAGACTGTAGAAGAAAAGAAAAGTAGACATCAAAAGAGAACCGAACACTCTTTGCTGTAAACCACCCACAAAGAACTATCACAGAATTTCCATTTGCTACAGTCAATTTGCCCACAAATTTTTTCTTGTCCACACAATTGTTGCTAAGTCACAGCTGCACAAAGACCTGCCTGCAAGAGCTGGCCCTGAACCACCAAAGGGAGCAGGTACGAGAGCTTAACTCTAGAGCCAGGAGAGGTAAGGATGGAGGTCTGCAGTGTGTATGCACACACACATCCCTTCTTCACAGTGCCTGCAGGTCACCCATAGTTGGGACACATTGAAAACGACTCTTTCAAGGTCTTATTCAACTCACCTCTTGGCTTAAATCTCTTCTCGGCCCTCCATCCATGTCTGCCCCACTTCTTGTCTGACTGTGGGTAGGCCTCCCTTTCAAAACAGCCTCCTTGGGATGGCCCCTTTCTTACCAGTGGAGCTCCCTTCTTTGGGAGGCTTGCCAGCTCACCACCTGCACCAACTTGTCTATGGCTCTGCAGCCTAAGGATCACCTGGGAACCTTGTGCCACGCCCCTGGCAAAGCTGATCTGGATGGCACCCACACCCAGTCCACATTCATCTGTAAAGTGCCGGGGCAGAATGGCAGGTTCCCAGTCTGCTCATGGACTCTGCCTACAACCTGTTCACTTTATAGCACCTCATTTATAATTTGCAATTTTAGCTATTTGAACAAAGCATCAGCTTTAATAAGGTATCTAAAGAGAATAAAAGTGGTTGAATGGAATTATGTTGACAACAACATATTAGGGCAGAAAGTGAAAGATTTGAAGAATCTGGGGAAAAAAACAGCAGAAACCATTTTTCCTTTTTCAGAAGAGACTCAGACTTTTTTTTTTTTCAGTATGATTCTTAGCATCTTTCTTCCTGGTCCACGGTTTAAAATACCCCCATCATAAATTACTATCCCTATCAAAACCATCCCCCAACACATATACACAAATAGAGTTTTTGCACTGTCTGAAAGTATAATAATTAACAGTAACATCTTTGTTTTGTTTAATCAAAGATGACTCAGAATGAAGGAAAGAAAAAATGGCCATGGGGAAGAGAATTAGAAACTCATATATTGTCATCTGCAGATGGGCATTCAAATCATGAACTGACTGCAGACATGCCAGAGAACCAGCAAGGAGGCTGGAGGGAGACGAGCATGTCAGTACAGCCTGCACCTTAGCAACCCACACCACCCACCTCCACTACAGCCAGGACCTTAGCACAGCATGCCACCCATGTCTTTCCTGCTCCTGAGACATGCTGTCCTGTTCCAACCAAGAAGATGCCACCAGACAATACATGCCTCTTCTTCTGTCTGGTCCACTGGGGATCCAGACACTGCTGAGTTGTAAAAAATGGGAATTCCCCCTGTCCAGAAACCGTAACTGGCCTCCTTATAACCAGCAAAGACTAATTCAGTACCATGGGACTTCTAATCATATGGCACATACATTCAGTCTGACTTCCGTTCTTGAACACTTGCAAAAAGGTTAAGACTATACTTCTGACTTTAAGAATGGCATTTTCTATTTGCAAGGTGAAACGTCCCTTCCTCTGCCACAGGAGGAGCGCCTGGTGTGGCATTACCCCTCCCCAAGCAGTGTGGAGCTAATTCTCTGCGCGGCAGGACTATAGGGGCACGGGACGCCCAGCTCAGCAGCTCTGAAAGGGTGAGCCTGTACTCCACAGCCCTTGAACAACTGGGCCGAAAGGAAAACTGCAAGCCTGTTGGGAGCTGCTGGTTCCCTACTGCATGAGGAATCTTTCCTTACATGCACATACATGGCATCAGCCCATTTCTTTTCCAGGCTTACTAACCAGATGGAGGTAATTAACTAAGACGGTACATATATGCATCATCCTGCAGCCATAAACCAAAAGGATGCCACAGCTTTAACTTCAAAGACTCAGCAAGCAAGCACAGCTTGAGGTATTTTTAGGCACCAGTTTCATTGTTTCAAAGAGGATGCGGCTGGATGAAAAGGTTGGATGAGAGAGAATTGCCTAAGAGTAAAACTCACATGGCAACGCCATCCAGAAAGAAGAGTGGCATTTGTTATTAAAAAAAGGTATATCTTTCTTAAATAAAGGCTATGTTTCTGAAAAGCGGAGAATAAATTTTGGTCATCAAATGTTTAAGTAAAATAGAGATACCTTTTATTTAAATGACTCCTACATTAAATTTTTTTTTAATTAACCAGTTATTTTCCTACTTTATTCTAAACCTAGACTTTTGGAATATCCAAATTTTAAGTCTCCAAGGTTTAAGGCAAGATAAGTCCCTCCCTCCCATGTGTGTACAGATTTAGATAGTTGTCTGTATTCAGTTGTGGACTTGTGGGCTTTCATCATGCTTGTTATTCTTCCTGAAGTAATGTGATGTTTTGTTTGAGAAACAGCAATGAAGTGACCCAGATTCCCCAATGGAAAAGCTGATCCATAAATATTGTGAATGTGTGACTGACTACAGGAATGGACGTGAAGGACAAGGCCCTGACCAAAAAATGAGCTGCTCCCGACCATTAGGTCAGATCAGACCCTCCATCTTTAAGAGGATACACAAAGACTTTTATTTTTAGAGAAAACCCTAAAAATAAAACTGAGAAGCCCCCAACTTGGAGCTCTCTTGAAACAGCCATCCCTCCAGTCCCCACCGCTCTTGTATTCCAAATGCCTAGGGACACAGTGTGCACCACAGGCACCTCACAACAAAACAGTGCTGGCAGAGGAAAGAGCAGGTACAGAGGGGAGCCAGCCACATGTTCAGAGAATGGCAAGAGGCATGGGCGTGCTACAGGGCAGAGGGGCTCGGGGGGGTGCTGCGGGAGGAAGGTGGAAGCTGAGGCAGAGGCTAGATTGTGGAGAGATGGCATATGCTAACTAAGAGGTCAGCCAGTACAGGCACCCTTCTACCCTTACCAGTGTATTTCCAACTTACCCCTGTCTCTAGAGGGGGCAGAAAAATCGGTTCAGCTCCTGGCATACTCCTGGCACTGGGCTATGCATCATCATTCTAATCTCTCCAACCCTTCTGGGCAAGTATAATTTTCCCCTAACCGGCCTTTGGGCCCAGGACGTTCACCTTTTCACTCATTTTCCTTTGGCCCTACTTCCACGTAGAATCGGATTCCTCTCCTCTGTGACCTTACAGCTCTCATGTAGTACCTGTCCCAGCCATCCCTGCTCCAAGACCAGCTCTCCGGCCAGGACAGCCTGTGCACAACAGGGGCTGTACCATTTCTGCTGATGGGGGTGAAGGGCGAGGAGGTGTGGTGACAGAGGGACTAGTGAAGAACTAGGAAATGAAACTGTGCTCCAGGAGGCTAAGCCAGCGCCCTCTTGCACATATGAGCAGGGGTGTGTGCTGGGGAGGGTGGCAGATAAACCCAGGTGTACCCTCAGGGCACTCATGGCATATAGGTAACCAGAAGATGGCCTTTAAGTTCAGTCCTGTGTCTTTAGCTATAAATAAATGACAGAGATCCAATCTGGAAATTCTGCTGTAATTTTTACTATGACCCAGTGTTTCCTCTTTACTTAAAAAATGTGACTGAGAAACTGAGATTCAGGACTCTGACAACTCCAAGATTCAAATCATGGTTCTGGTTTTTGTTTGATTATTTTAAGGATGACTGAGCGAGAAATGAGGTGTATTCTTCTCTTGCCACATAATCTTCTCTATTTCCAATTCAATCCTTTTTACTACTTGCAAAAGATTTAAAATATTCATCAACCTGCCAAAAGACATCTGCGCGCTCCTGGACATGTCCCCACATGTCACATGTGAAGGGCTTCTTTCAGCTCCAGCAATCGTGGCTCTATTCAATCAACACTGAAGTGGGAATCTCAGAACTGTACGTGGCATGATGTCAGTGGCGACTGAGGATAAAGTGTCCATTTGATAGCAGCCTCATGTCAGGCGTGTCAACGGGGCAGTGTTCTTTGGCTTTTCTTACTTAGGGTCCAAGGCACAAAAAAGACCAGGCAGGGCCAGACTCGGCCACAATCCCAAAGAAAGCAGAGACACATGCAGGGCACACAGGAGCTCCTCAGTGTTCCCTGGCACAGGGCAGACCTGGCTCCCTGCCTGAGCCCAGGAACAGGCCCACTCTCACAGTGGGCTCGCAGAGGCCTCCACAGCTGCACACACGCAGGGCAGCGTTTGGAACCATCCACGCTCAGGGGTACCACAGTCTCTTGTGTACCGACAGTAGGGACAGGCCTGGAGACAGGATCTAGCTCAGATAAGGCCCTTTGCTGTGGGGCACGCCTCAATGCCCCATTTCCCCCAGGAAAAATGCTTTTTCCTCCAGTTGTTCATTCTGGCCCCAGTCTGGCTTGTTCTATGTCCTACACACATGACCTTCCAACAAGGTTTGAGGTGGCAGCAGCTACAATCTCTGAGCAACTGCCCAACCCCCAGCACATGCCCATGGTGAAGGGCACTGGGCAGCGATGAGGTTGGTGACAAGTCAGTGCCACTCCAAGGGCATCTTCAGCATGTGGACATCAGGGGACCCCTGAAGGAACTGGAAGGAAAGGGTCTAGTGAGGGAGAACACAGCAAAGGTGGCTGCAGAAAGCTTTGGAACTCAGCCACCGTTGTATATACTTTGTCCTACTGCACATTCTTCTTACTGCTTTTATACAAACCTGTTTGCCTGCCATCAGAGGCAGTGAAAACCCACAGCCCATTATGATGTTGGAGCTTTAGCTCCTGGCCAGTTTCTCCACGCACAATGAGCTCTCCACTGCGGTACCTCCCTCTTCCATGTCTCAGCTGGCTGCACGTGCAACCTCGCTCTGACAGAGGCAAACAAGAGGGGAAGGCACCCCAAGATGCACAATGCAGTCAGCATCACTGAGGAGGTAAGGTGCACAATGCTGGCTCTACCGCCTAATGATGCCTCTCCCCATGGACCTCTGAGTTACTCCCTAAAATGCTGAATTCTGG